CACCCGCCCTTGCCTCAACCACCCACTGCACTCCTGCGCCCACCCACCGCACCCCCTGCGTGCAGACCCAACCCTAAACCCACCTTTGGATCCAACACCCCCTGCGCCTGCGGCGCCTGAGAATCGACGACACGAGGGTCCCCATTAAACAGCGCCGCCACTGCAGACCGCAGCCCCTCGAGCTGCTGCTCCGCGGCGGCCAGAACCTGCCGAGGGGGAGATTAACGTTTGCGGTCGATGCTTGACCAAAGTTTGACTGCGATATGGGTCGGCGCGGCGCGGAGCGAGACACCGCCTCGGGGCGGGGCTGGGTGGCAGGGCTGCAGCCTGTCAGCACCAGGGGACTGATAGACGGCGCGGGCGCCAGACCGAGCGAGGCAACATAACGATTTGGGGCCCAACATGCATTGAGATGCCCTCTTCAAGGCGACCATAACAAAAGAAGCGTGCGTGTCGCGCACCAGCTCCGGCTGCTGCGACGTGCCCAGCAGCTGCGCCTTGGCTTCTGCCTCCTCTGCTTCCTGGGGTTGGCCCAAAGGGGCGGCGTGGGGGGGAGGGGTGGAATCGGGAGGCCACGTCGAGAGTTTCCTGTGTTTCATGAGTTGATGGTGTTTGGGGGTGCGAAATCGGCAGGCATGCAAGAAGTGGGTGGGCACACGGACCGGCACCATGCGCTGCCTCAATCATCTGGATTTTTGCTTGACGGGGTCGAGGGCACCGGACGGCGAATGGTGCGACGTCGCGGCGACGCATCAACGCCCGGCCGCGCAGCGCGGGCGGCGCCTCACCTGGTCTGGCAGCAGTCGGGACGCCAGCAAGCTGGGGACGTCCGCCTCGATCTGGAAGAAGAGGGGCCGGGTGCACGGCACGATGACGTCACGACGTGGATGAGGTGGCGGCGACAGACAGGGAAGGCCGACCGACCGAGAACGACCCGGAGAAGCCACGCTAGGCAGGCAAAATGCATGAGCAGACATGACGGGCGTCGTGCGCCTCGCAGCGGTGGTGAGGGCTGCCCAGGCCGAGCGCAGGGGCCGAGGGTGTGGGGTTGGTGGCGGCGTCATGTGGGCCGACAGTCAGCGATAGGCTGGTGTGGTGCCGCGCCGGCCGGCGCACCTGTGGGTTGTCGACAAACTTTGGATAGGAAACGTACTGACGGAGCAGCGGCCGCAGCTGAGACACGATCTAGTGGGTTGTGTTTGGGGGGGGGGATCCAGGAGCGGCCCGGGGTGAGTCTGAGGTGCGCCCAAGGCACGAGAGTGCCCCGCAGTAATTCTTTGGGTTGTTCGAGGCCGCTGCAGCGGCGCCAAATGGCCCAGGCCCTTGGCTGCGCTTCGGAAGACGCTCGCAGCCGCACACGCCCGCACGGCCGGCAGCCTGGTGCTTCAACCCCAATCTTGCATCAAGGGGCACAGGTCGACAGCCATGCTGGACCACTCCTGGGCAGTACTGGATTGTTTTTGTGAGCCGGTTTTTGACCCCGCCAGACCTGCATGTGCTGAATGTTGACGACTGCTAAACGGTCCAGGAACGCCGCCCAGTGGGCGCCGCGCTGCGGCGGCGGGGCGGGGTCGCAGCCAGGTAGGGG